CACCCAGGCTCGCCCAAATGGCTTCAGGGCCTGTTAGCCACCGGCTACCGGGCGCCATAGGCAGAAGCTTGAAAGTGCCAAGAGGCTCCGAGCCTCCTGGAAACACCTGCCTGGCCAAGGAGAGGCTCTCATAGCAGCGCAGAGCGCAGCTAAGCAGCCGGAACGATCATCGAGCCTGGGTAGCAAATTCCTTTCAGCGTTTTGGCTGTCATCCTAAAAGAAAAAACAATCTCTGGTTTTACCAGGGATTTGCTTGGTTTGGGCCAGGGAATTTCACTAAGTAATTCCTGCATCATGTGATACAGGAGGTTGCGTTAAATGGTCTGGTGATCATCCCTATTCTTCTCTTTCAATGATCCTTTTCTGGAAAGCCAGCAGCAGAGCGAGGAGGAAAAATTAAGCGCTGGTGTTTAGGAAGTACAAAAGAGCCCAATCTATTTAACGGCTAGGGCATTTTTTTTTTTAATTGAATAGCAATTCCCAGGATCCATTGATCTTTACATTAGTTAGAGCATCCTACAAGGACAGAAACAGCAATGCTGAGCGTGTGAGTAATGAGCTAGCAGCCTAGTGAATCATTTCCCCTAAAGCTTTGTGTTTGTAGAGAGACAGATGGTGGGAGCTGCGAAGAGGGAGAGGGGAGGAGGAAAACAGTTTTCTGGAAGAAAAAAAAAAAGAAACAGAAGATAGAGTGAAAAAAAGAGTAACCAGCAGGAAAGGGAGAAGAGGCTGCAAATACGCAGGTTGTTTCAAAATTAATGCTTAGGTGTTAAAACAAATGAGGGTGATGGGAAAATGCAGGAAGGAAATTGCAGAAAGTCTGAGCTTTGTGGCCAAGTGGGGAAAATGGAATAAGAGAGGGCCTTAAAGACAAGATTTATCGATGCCTCTGCAGCCCGTTGCTGATTTTACGCGTAAGCGGCGAGGAAGGAGCTGCGAGCAGAGATGCCCGCGCTGGGGCTGACACCGCAGCCTGGCGGGACCCTCCAGGCAGAGCGGGGTCGAGGGCGCCCCGCGCGCTGCGAGTGGCCACGGCAGCGCCAGCTGCCTCCGGCCTCTGTGCAGAGGCGCCTGCGGATGAGCCTGGCTCCGGCAGGCACAAAAGCCCCGCGTATCACACAAGTGAGCCCTGACAGAGCTGCAGAAAGCGGTTTTGTAACAGGCACTGGGAGGAAACAATGATTAAAAGAGGTAGCAATTAATCTGGAGAAAAATCACCACCGCCACCTGCTTCTTCTGTGTTTTCCCACTATTTTTTTAAAAAAGGAACATGCCCCAGAAATAGTACCTCGGGGCCTCCTTGGGCGCTGCCTCCTTTGGCTCGCGCTCACAGCCCATACAAGGCGTCTGCCCCATTCCTGGGAGCTGCCCCGGTGGGAGCCCCACGACGTGAGGGGCACCCCGCGAGCCAGGTGCGCTGCTGAGCACCAGCCTGCTCCAAAGGGAGCAGCCTGGGAAGGAGGGAGGAGGGCAAGAAGGGAGCGCTGCTGGGAGCGAGGGCAGCGGCTGCAGGGCAGCTCGTGCACGAGGGAGCCTCTCAGCCCCAGGCTGGAGGGGGAGCTCAGCCTGGCGCTGGCCCGAGCAGGAGGTGCCGCTTCAGCTCCCCGCATGGGCACCAGGCTCACACGTCTGAGCACGACAGCCGGTGCCATCTTCCTCCCTCACGGCCCCTCCAAGGGCAGACACAGAGCCCCGGCCCCAGCAGCGACGCGAACACTGCGGATCTGCTCAGTGACGAGCGACCAGGCAGGCGACGCTTCGCTTTGAAGATGACTAACGCTGCCCCTCGCAATAACGCTTCCGGATGGACAATATTGGCTTTCCCCACACACGGGAAATCTGAAAAGTCATCTGGAAAATGAAAG